CGATATACTTATATGTGATCATAAGTGGGCGGTGCCACGCCCATTTTCCAAAATTTTACCATAAACGTATTTCTTGGTAAAGAATTGTTGCAAGCATCAATTTTGAATAAATTAGCTTCAATATTTACTGATTTATCGAAGATTTTGTATTTCTCGAAATTACCGTTATATGGGATGTGGGCGTGGTTATTGTCCGATTTTAGAAATTTTCGGCCAGTTGGTATGCTGTACCAGGACCAACAACTGTGCCAAGTTTGGAAGAAATTGGTGTAGCGGTTACCAAGATATACACATGTAACCATAAGTGGGCGTGGCTACGCCCATTTGCCAAAATTTTATAATATTCTTATTTTTCGTCTAAAACTCATTGTAAATATCAATTTTGAGTGAATTATCTTCAGTAGTTACTAAAATATCGCAGTTTTCGTATTTCTTAAAATTACCGTTATATGGGAGGTAGGCGTGGTTATTATCCGATTTCGCCCATTTTCAATACCATCCGTCCCACGCCCAAAAGAAGTTCACGTACCAAGTTTCGTTAAGATATCTCAATTTTTACTCGAGTTATCGTGTGCACAGACGGACGGACGGACGGACGGACAGACAGTCACCGCTTAATCGATTTCTCTTTTCATTCTGATCATTTATGTATACATTTGTCTATATCTATCTCGATTCGTTTTGCCTGTTACAAACAACCGTTATGTGAACAAAGTTATAATACCCTTGTGCACAAGTGCGCTCGGGTATAAAAATAGTGGTACATTTGTTTTCGGTATAGAACTATCCTCGGGTAGAGCATTAAATTTCCGACTTTGCTTTGTTTTAGATCACCCTAATGTACATACAAATGTATGCACGTACTTACGTAGCAAAAGTATAAAATATTAAAACATATTGTATTTGTTGTACACACTTTAATAGACATATACAAATATCTGCTGCATTATTTAGCACTTTTGTTGACAGCAAATTTTTCATTTTTAATCGCATAATTATTTATTTTTTTCTTTTACCTACGACAGGTGAGGAGTGCTTCTGCCGTGACTGGCATGGCTGCATAATGGCCCAATCGATTGTTGGCCAGGAAAATGTGCAGCCATACAAATTCTCCGAGTGCAGTAAAAAGGATTATATCGATGCGCTACGCACCGGACATGGGTTGTGTTTACTCAATAAGCCAAATGAGGTGAGTCTCAAAGTATTGGAAAAAAAAAATAAAAATTTATGACATTGTTTTATATTAACTAGTGTTCGCCCAGCGGTTGAAATTCAACCGATAAAATTAAGGATAGTTTATGTAAGTTGAATGAGCTAAAATAACATTAGTTGGAATGGGTTAAGTGGAGGGGAGTTTAGCTTAGTACTTGGTATAACATAACATAACCATAACATAAGAATAAATAACATAACATATGAAGCATAACACACCACAATATAACATCGCACACTCTTCAGTTGTATTTCCTTTTTATCCCTTTTTTCACCTCTATCTAAATCTTATTTATTTTGGTTCATTTTATGCCAAATGATGTTGCCTTTGATGCCACATCAAGTGATATCATGTCATGTGGTGAAATTGGGTGTGG